GTTTGAATTAATTAAATACCAAAAAAGGCAATTTCATGGAAATTTTCCCAACGATTCTCAATTTGCATTTGTGGAGTGCAGAGCGCTCGGCCATGGCGAGCCATTTAGATGAAATCTATTGCATTTTATTCGAAATTTTATTCCCATGTTAACAGTTCTATTATCCTTGCGGCTATATCGGCCAGATACCTCCTGCACCCCGATTTGCTAGACCAGCGAACTGCGAGAGCCGCCGTATGATAAATCGCAGCATTTACGTGTGTGCGCCCAGGCAAATATATCAGGCGGGCAAGGTCATAAATATTAATTGTGTTTCGGCGGAGGGACTGGCGATGGAGTTGCGAGCACACTTTAACACTGAAAGAAAATTTGTATAAAAAGATCTTTAAACTTCTAACATTTTTGATTATAACAATTTTACATGACATTGATTAGTGAATTTCCATTTATTAACAAGCCTTTTTGTTCAATTTATTAGATTAATTAAAAAACTATCATTTTATTATATTATATGACATTTTTTTTACATTACAACATTAGGTAAAAAATGTTCTATAGATAATGGTTTAATTTTAAATATTTTTTATGAATATCATACAAATAAAACTATTTCTAAAACATATCCATCAAATAAATTTATGTGAGTTTGATCATTTTATTTGATCGTCTAAATATAAATAAATCAAGATTCCAATGGGTAATATTCCTGTAATTTTCCATGTGCACGGGGAGTGGGTTCGGGACCTATCCTTAGTTTGCATGTCTCGCCCGTTGTGTTGCTGTGTTGTTGTATTGTTGCGGTGGCCAGTGCCCGTTGGCTAGGTGTTGTTGCCCGCTGTTCCCGGTCCGATGCCATTATCAATCGATCGAACGCGAGCTGCATTTGCTTAGCGGTTTGCGCATGAACGAGTCCCAATCGAAGGCAAATACTCGTACATCGTACATCGCATATTGCTAATAAATATTCAGCGTTCGAGTGGTGCGGCAGTGGATTATGTTGTGATGGCGCACCGATGTTCTGGCCCCGAAACACCGAAAACACCAGTGACAAACTGTAGTATCTGTATGGCAAGTATGGCAAGTATGGCAAATGTTTGCAGAGCAGCCAATGGCCAATAGATATGTATGTCCGCCAAACTTTCATTAGCCCGGGTCGAACTTAAAGCCAGCTTGAAGTCGCCTGCAGTCAGGAGTTATTCATAAACAGTATGGAGCTTGGAGTGCCGTAGAATGGAGTGGAGTGGTCGAGTGCAGTCGAGTGCTGCTGTGATTAATATCCCTGGAATGCAGTTTATTGTTGCGCGACGACAACAGCAACGGAGCAGCGAAGCTGCTGTTGTTGCAGTCCACTGGGGGCTGTGGGCGGTGGGTTGGGGGCGTGGCAGTGGGAGACACATGGCAGGAAGGTAGCACCAGCACATGTGCTGGGGTCATAGCAGCCAACGGAACCCACACTGCAAGTAAATAATAATAATATTTTGGGATCCAAGCCAGTGCTATTGCTAATTTAAACCTTATGTTTCGATCTTATCAAAGCACCAATTTTTAACTATAACAAATAATAAAATTAACTAAAAGAGGCTAAAAATATAAATATAAACTTTAATCTAAGTATATTATAAGGCATTAATATTATTTAATAAATTGCATTTATGAGCCTAAATATGTTAGAGATAATAATATATCATATTTCTCAGTGCAGCAACATTATGAAGAGGATCGCATATTTTTCTAAGGCCGCGAGGCGACGCAAATTTGTGTGCATTATGTTTTTTTCTTTTTGTTGTATTTTCCTGGAGTTTCTGCAGTTTTTGTTTTTTTTTGTTCGGTTGCCTCTAAGGTTTTTCCTCAGCTATTTTAGCTCAGTTATAAATTACGCCGGTATGTGTGTGTGTTGCATAATCTGAGTGCTGAAATCTTTGGCATCCACTTGAGAGCAAATGCAAACAGCGCTGGAGAGAGAGTGAGACGAGGGCATCTCTGGAACCTATTGTTCTAGAGGCCCCCACAATGGAGCCGGGAAATCTGGGAGGAGGGTGGGGGATAGGGGGGTCTGAAGAAGTTGCTGCAGAATGACCGCCACTCTCATAATAGAGTCATAAAATTTTAGTGCGCCGCTTGGCCAACTCACCGCTCAACCCGCGATATCGGGGAACCCCCGTGGCGCCTCGGAGTCACAGCCGTTTCGCTTTGTTGGCCATTGTCCCGGCCATTTACTCGGACCATAGAAATATATAATTGTGATTAATTATACGACATAAAAGTGCTTTAGATCCAGCATTTTGATGCATTTATTAACCGAAAAATCACTCGGAACTCGAAACTCTCCACTGCGCATTCTCTTTCGGCGCTGGATCTATTATCAATTGTAATAAAAGTTGGCCTTTCAAATTTCAGCCTGGCATTATATGGGGCGTTGCTGCTGCCGCGGGCAGTGAATCGGGGAGTATTTATGGATTAGCCACGATATGGGCTAAATCCAAATAAGTAGTTGTGAAAATTGATAGCCACCTTGATCCCATCAACAGGCATCTTAAGGTTAAGTTTATTTGCTTTTCAAAAATTTATTGGCTTTACCAAATATTCATAGGATAATTTACTACAATTTAAAGACGCTACATACCAATACTGAATCCTGAATGATGTTTACAATTTCTGGTTAGTTTTTTGGTTTTTTTTTTAGAATTTTAATTGAATTATTTACGTATAATATTTCTAAACATAAAAATTTGTAATATTTTTATTTCGCATTAACTTAAAGAAGTTACATTTTTCAATAATATATTTATTAATTGACAAATAAGTTATGGCAGATCTTCCCCTACTTGAATCATGCCATCCCGCTTTTGTGGGGCAGATATTATTTCAAAGAGCCACGTTAGACCATCTAGTCTCCCTAGGAGAAACCTTAATTGAGTTCATACGGCGCATTTTTGATTGTCAGCGTTGTCATGGCCGGCGGACGAATCGCCGGCGGACAGAATGGAGGTACATCGCGGCACAGGACAGAATCAGAATCAGAATCCCAGCGACAATGGAGCAATGGAGCACTCGAGGAGCTGGCTTCGTTATCACACAGAACATGGCAGCACATGGGAATTGCGGCCGCCTGGTGACGACTGCACTCTGGATGGCGGATGGCAGGGACAATGGATGATGGGCAGGGAGTAGGGAGCAGGGAGCAGGGAGCCTTGGGGGCAGGAACTGTGTAGAGGCAGCAGTAGCAGACTCTGAATCCGAAACAGAAACAGAATCCCTGACAAGAGCAATCCATCCACAAAGGCAAAGGCATTTCATGCTCATCAAATGCGTTGACATTGAACAATTGCGCGTAATGTTGTCGTACACTTGACAAGCGCGCAAATTGTAGTGCTACCTGTACTTGAGCCGCAATTTTAGCTCAAAGCGAAAGCTGAGCCACCGGCATTGGCATCGGCGGTCCCAAAATCGATCTACGTTTGGTCTAGCCGAAACTAGCGAACTACCAACTACTTTTGATGGAAATTGGCAAAGTTGTCTGTCTGTCTGATTGCCGCGACGTTTGTCGTTTGCCGTTTGCTGTTGCGGCCTTAATGAAGCGGACGACATTCACCGGACAAGCTCCGCTCGTTGCCACATCCACATCAACATCCAGTTTCCACATCCACTTCGAAGGCACTCGCCAAATATGCGGCGACAAGTCCTCGCTAAATGCTATCCAGATTAATAAGTCCGTGTGGGTGATGTGAGCATGAGCCAGAGCCACATGTGGAGCGAGATACGATAGTAAAAGTCAAAAGTCGCCCCGTCCCTGACGTTCTAGGCGATATGTCTGTCCACACTCAAACCAAATCTATCTATCTTTGAGATACCTACACACAAAAAAAAAACTTGGTAAAATCAACTGTAATAATTGTCAAACAGGCCCCAACCAGCAAAATTGTCAATTCTACTAAGTAAATAGTCATTTCACAACAACAAAATACACACAATTAGCAAAGACACAAACCCAAAGCAAAAACAAAATACACGTAACTATTTTAATAGTTACGTAACTATCTTTGTTGGTCAATTTTACCAAGCAAATTTTTTTGTGTGTATAGATAAATCTACAAGAAATGGTTTAAAAATAAATTAAACTAACTAGATGAGAAATAAACTCAATTACTTAAGGATAGGGTATAATTATTTAATCTGACTTTGTTAGAAGTATAAAATATTGTGATATTTAGAGGTTACAAATATTTTTCAGATGAAAAAAAGTAATATATCTATTTCTTAAAAGGCCCCCTGGAATTTTAGCTAATTTTCAAACTTTATACTATCAACTAAAGTATACAGACACAACAGACTACAAATGATTTCTCAGAGTGCATCCAACCCCCTGCTCCCCCACCTTCCATTTTGAGGCTACCAAATTTGGCCAAGGCAATATTTTGTTCGTTTGGCAGGCCGTTAGAGATTTGCAAAAGGTAAAACTGTAAAATGCATTTCGGTTTGCCTTAAATGGAGCGGGGAAAAGTCAGCAGAACGCACGATAACGAAAGAAAAGTGCAAACATTGTTGCAGAACCACCGCGCCGAGTGTGCAAATTTGCCTTTCGATGGCCCGGCCAGAAATCCGAAGACTGGCGAAATGCATTCGAAACTCGGCAATCGGCTCCAAACAACAAACAACAATGGGGCAACAATGGCTGAGTGGCAACGAGGAGGAGGAAATCTGCCCGGCTCGATAATCGCCTGGCACTCGAAGGCTGCTCCTATGATTTTAAGTGGACGTTATTCCGGAGTATTCGCCAATAATTGCAGTTGCAAATATGAGTTTTCCCATTCGCATTTCGCCATTTCCCATTTCCCAGGCCTTGGCAGCTGCAAAGTTCTCGGCCGGCAATTGCCGTAATGAGCAATAAGTTCCTTAGTTATTTATTCAGTAATTCCACACCTCGTATGCGTAAAAAAACGGTTCATAGTTCCAGGTCACTCGACACACTCCCAGTATTTGCGTTGCATTGAAACCGAAAGATGACCGAACGGAAAAATGGAGATTGGGATCGATTGTGGCTGCCGTTTTGTGAAGGTTGGGCTGTTCTCAAGGATCCCCAGGCTCAATCCCGGCATATTGTCGCCTACTGGACGCGGGAGCAAATTAAGTTAGATTTTAAAGGAGCCCATTACCCAGTTTGTGATTAAGAATACCCTTACATAGGGCCTTGCGTTTTTACACGAACTCGGAGGAACAGCGTCAATCCAAGAATGTAGCCTGGCAAACTTATATCTTGTTCTCACTGACGGTTAGTCTGGCATCTTTGCTGTATGGCATACCCGAGTCCCTGGGTGATATTGTCAATCTGGGACGCGATCTGGTGTTCTCAATAACGGTTCGAGATATAAAATGTTTTAATTCTAGACTGATATTAATGTCAACTTAAACCTAAAAACTCCCAGTGCATATTTATTTTCTTTAGATTGGTGTTCTTTGCCCGGTATGCCGATGACGTGGACATGGTAATCAATGCTCTCGAGGACATTCATCACAGGACGATAAGCGGGCCGGGAAGTAAGGAAGTGCAGGCCACCAAGCGGTTGCATTTCCTCTTGTTTATGGCCCTGCTCGTTATCTGGCTAACTTTTCTGGTTCTTTTTATTCTGATAAAGATGTCAACGCCCTTTTGGATAGAGTCACAGATATTGCCCTTCCACGTCGCCTGGCCCTTTCACTTGCACGATCCTAGGAAACACCCGATTGCCCATGCCATTATCTTTGTCACTCAAAGCACCACCATGCTGTATTTCCTGATTTGGCTCGGCATTGTGGAGAATTTTTGTGTGTCCATTTTCTTTGAGCTGACCTCTGCTCTAAGGGTCCTTTGCATCGAGCTGCGAAACCTGCAGGAACTTTGCCAAGGTGACGAGAATAGGCTGATCATAGAACTACATCGACTGACCAAGTTTCATCAGCAAATCATCCTGTAAGCTTCAGAAAATATTTAAGATATTTTAGATATTCAAGATAATATTTAAGATATGTTTAAAACATCGATCAGAAACATATTTCTCTGCGTTTTAATATAAATGAGAAATTTATTTTCTAGAAAATGTATTTTAAATATATCTAAAATATCGATATATTACTACACCGATATCTAATATGCCTATCCTTTTTAAAAGTCTTTCAGATCGTTGCAACAACATTTTCAATATGGCATTTATCATGCAAATGCTGGTAAACTTCCTACTTGTCTCATTGTCACTTTTTGAAGTATTGGCTGCGAGAAAGGATCCTCAGGTGGCAGCCGAGTATCTGGTTGTTATGCTGATGACTCTGGGTCATCTCTCCTTCTGGTCGAAATTCGGAGACATGTTCTCCGAGGAATCTGAGCAGGTGGCCCTGGCTGCCTACGAGGCATATGACCCGACTGTTGGCTCCAAAAACATCCATCGGCACTTTCTTTTCTTCATTCAGAGAGTGCAAAAACCGCTTTTCATGAGTGCCAACCCTTTTCCGCCTTTTAGCTTGGCGAATTACATGTTTGTAAGTTAAGTTCAGCGCTGCTCTTTTGTTTTTATTTAAAGATCTTCATTTGCAGATTCTAAAGCAGTGTTATTCAATTCTAACGATTTTGGCCAACACACTGGATTAAAGCAAATATGTTATTTTGCGATATTTCGGCTGATTTTTTATTTATTTGTATATTGTTTATTTAATTGCTAAACAATTGGCTTGTGAAAGAATAGCATTAATTCACTTACCGCTTTATTAAATCCCTCTCAACTCTTAAAATTAAATCGACCATTTTGGGCCATTCGAAGAAAGTTCTGCAGAGAGCCTGCATTTTATGCATGCGACCCCAAAAGGTCGCCACTGCACTCGTTGCAACTGGGAAACATCGAAGAGTGGTCCAAACCCGCGGAAGATTGGGCTCATAAATTGCAATTGTGTGTGCAGCTCGAACTGGAAGCTGGTTTTTCGTTCAGACCGACGGTTTGTTGGCTGCTGGTTGTTTAGTGGCTGGCGTTTGACTGCTCCGTCATTAGCTTGATTGAATCTTATTGTTGGCAATTAACCTTCGCAGCGATGGGGCCAAGCGTCTGAGGGTCTGTGGGGCTACGATCCTGACATTCTGCCACATGGACGAGGCGAATAACTTCATTTGCCACGACAACATGTCATCTTCCTGGGCCACTCTAATTGCCAACGACAAGCAGGCCCAATTAATTAGCAAACGCCAGCGTATTAGGCCAATAACCAATATCCAATTTACCAACATTTGCATCTGCACGAGTGAAAACCTGTAAGTCCCGGCCTCGAAAAGTGAAAAGCATACTGCATTTTATTCGGAATATGGAGACAACAATTTAAAGCAGTGGGCTTTACTGGCAACCCGCTGAAAATTCGGTTAAAAAAATATATTTTGTAATTAAACAATATGTTTACTTTTAATGCTTTAAAATACTACAAAAATACAATGCAAAATTCTATTCCAAAAAGTTATATCCAAGCCTGAACAACAAACTCCATTACTTGGCCCGCTGAACTTAAATTGTTGATTGGAATTTCGATACAATTTTTAATTTGTTCACTTTTTTATTTTTTTATTTTAGCTATTCTATTTTTAATCCCACTGTGCGGCGACAGCAAGCGATTTGTCAGACTGTAGTTTCTTTTTTCTCGTTGTGGCTCATTTAATACCTAAGACCACTTCCTACTTACATTTGAATATTCGCCATAGCAATTGCAATTGCATTTCGCTTGTGTTTATTTACTTAGACGACTCCTTCAGAGCCCCCCGCAGCCCCCGAAAGAGCCGACTTCTTGGCCGTTTTCCATCTAAATTGCATGCAGCGCCTTTGTCATGACATGACAGCAGCCTAATTCATCATTATGGTTACACAGGACCGACTGCATCGATGAAGCTGAAAACCGGGGGATCGGTTGCGGTGGGAATCGGGGACTGGGGATTGAGGATTGCGGATTGAGAGAGTTTTGTCGCGACTTTCGCTAGACGGTTGGCCCGAGATGCAGTTGCAAAGTTGCCAGTTTTGCATCTGAACAGCGATCTCGGTGGACTTGGACGCGGCGACGTGATTCATTCATGCGCAGTAGTTGGATTTTTCGCTTGCATGCAGCTGGCAACGATGATGACGATGATAATGATGATGCATGCGCCCGGGCTTAGGAGCTGGTTAGATTTACCGAGGAAGCGGGGCTAAGATGCACTTTAGAAGGCAAAAGTGCACTGTCGATAGGCTGATGATTCGCCTGTCGACATTCAACGAGCCGGGCCAAGACGACGACATTATCGTCGGCAGAAGTCAGGGATGTCAGTGGGAGAAGAGTTCGGGAAGAGCTCGGTTATTTGTATGGTTTATTATCTCCGCACAATATCGCTCATTGTGGGGGCTTGTCAAGGGGGCCGCGGGAAAGTTAGTTATTGAGGGCCCAAGCCTCTCAAAGTGAAACTTCTGAGACGCACAGTCAGAAGTATGAATCTGACTTACGACGCAGGATTTAAATGGGTTCAAGCGAAGTCAAGAGGTGCACTAAAAAGGTTTTTAGAAAATCTAAAAAAATAGGTGATGCTGGCCTAGATAAAGAATACCATCTAGCACAAGTACTTGACTAAGCACTAATAAACTAATTAAATATTAAAGTATTATTCCTCTATATGACTTCAATCTTAACTTAAATTTTACAATTGCACTTGTCTTAAATTAAAAGAGGTTATTCTAAGAATTTAGAAAATGCGATTGACTATCAGAAACGACATCTTGATTACCTCGATGGGCTTTATTTCCGCTCATGTCAAGCGAAACGCCGCGAGCAGCAGATTCTTATCGACTGGCCGAAATCGTGTGACATTGTAAGTCGCCGAGAATAAGCGACCCAGTTAACAGACCGCTTTTCGTACACCCAATTTGCTGACATGCGCCGATTCCCGCGAAAACAGCGAAAAGGTGTCAGACATTCGGTCCGGATTCAGTGGCCGGCCTCTTAATCATCGAACTCGAACCGAACAGCTAACTGCAAACAGGACAAATGCCATGCACGACTTCATTATTAGGCAGCCCCATATGCACATCATCATCGTCGTTTTCGTTGCCATGGACTCGTGACATGGCCACCAGATTGGGGCTAGTCTGGCAGCTAGCTGGCTCTCTGATTAGTTTTCCACAGCTCCACGGCTGCTCGGCTCATTTCCCTCTCATCAAGACACGAAAATGTCCCTCAAATTTGTTCGTCAACGAGGAGCAGCGGGTCCATTAAATTCCTTCTGTGGTTTTCGTTGGGCTTCTGTGGGGCTGTCGCTAATGAAGTCATAAAACCGCATGACATTTTCGATGCCTCCGAGGAAAGCCCCACGGATCTCACTTTTTTGTCATACGATCTTGTTGGTCTCTTGTACACACACTCGCGTACAATTGCTGTCCTGCTGTCCGGGGCAGTTCAATCGTTCCAATATGCAAATGCCCCATTCACCCGCCGCCACCCACGATCGGAGGAAAGGAAAAGAGCGAGCGATCCATATGACCATATGTTCATATCAGACCCCAAATCTTTCGCTTTCGATTGCGCCGAGCTGCGCCCTCCGTCCAAAGCACCAAAAACTCAACTCCAATCCGATCCACTCCACTCAACTCACCTCGACTAAGCCCGGCTTTATCTGCATTTCATTTCGTTTCGCCGGCTACGCTTCGTGCTGCAAATATGCAAAAATGCTGCAATCTGCGGACAGCACGTTCGGAGGGCCTTTCGTGTCATAAATGGCATAAATATTCCTTCTTGACCGGGCAACCTAAATATTTCCAGCTCTGTTGTTGCACAGATGCTGCTTTCCTCTCCACGCTGGGTTGGGGTGAAGGAAAAAAATCATTTTATAACAATGCGAACTTTCACTTTTTTCGGATTTCGGCAGATCTCCACCGAAATCGAAATTAAATCGTTTTTCATTTTTATGTGTTGGCGAATAATTGATGACTCAGGTTATAGGAAGGTAAAAAATAAGGAAATATGCAAGAACTAATTCCATATGTAAATTTGTGAAAGCGATTAGAGTTTTACAAGGCAGATGTTAAGTTCTCGCCCAGTAATTGCAATAAATGACCATAATTAGTTTCTCATTAAAACACAAGAAAAAAAAGTAATAAAAATATTTTAACTTTTTGTTACGAATATCTAGATAGCTAGATAGATAAATAAATTACTTTCTTAGATTTTTATCAACTTATTTTTCTTTGACAAATTTTTAAAAAATATTATGGCATTTAAAGTTGATTTTAAATTTTTCCAGTGCAAAGCCAAAGCTGATATCAAATAGGCAATTCTAAGGGTGATTTACTTGCACTCGATAAACAGAAGAGCTTCGCAATGGACTTTCGTGGCAGTTTGCATCGCTATTTAAAACTTTACAAGGACGGTTATAAGGTTTTTCGGGATCCCCGATTGGAGTCGACGCATTCCACGGCCTTTTACTGGAGGGAGCAGATGAAGTCTGAGTAATATTAAAGTATTAAAGGCTAAAATCTATTTCGCACCTTATTGCAGAGCCATGCTTTTATACACGACCTCCGAAGAACGTCTATTACCCTATCGTTCCATTTGGCACACTTTTGTGTTTATTAAAGCTGTGGTCTTTTTTGGAACAATTATTTATGGTCTAACTGAATCTGTAGGCGACAGTGTTGAAATGGGTCGAGATATTGCTTTTATCATTGGAGTAAGAAAGACCTACTAACTTTTAAAGCGGGCCAAAATAACCCAATTCCTTTTATGCAGACATTTTTTATTGTTTTTAAAATTTTTTATTTTCAATGGTATGGCGATGATCTTGACGAGGTGATCAACGACTTGGAGGCATTTCATCCTTGGGCACTGGAGGGTCCGGGAGCTGTAGACTTTCGACCTGGCAAGCGTTGGTACTTCTTGATGGCGTTTTTTATGTCTTCATCTTGGGCCTTCTTCCTGTGTATTTTTCTCCTACTACTAATAACGTCACCAATGTGGGTCCAGCAGCAAAACCTACCCTTTCACGCGGCCTTTCCATTCCAATGGCACGATAGATCCTCTCACCCGATCACCCACGCCGCAATTTATTTGTTTCAGAGTTATTTAGGGGCATACGCTCTTACCTGGCTGTTATGTATCGAGGGACTCTCTGTGTGCATTTACGCGGAGCTAACTTTTGCCATTGAGGTTCTATGCCTCGAACTTAGGAACCTACACCGCAGATGTAATGGAAATGAACAGCTTAGACGGGAGATGATTCGCCTGGTCAGGTTTCATCAGAAGATTATCGAGTGAGCATTAAAACTGAGATATTCCAATCTTCGTTTACTAACACCATTTCTTTTAGAATTTTAGATCGTATTAATGACGTTTTTCATGGTACCCTTATTATGCAAATGTCAGTAAACTTCTCCTTGGTATCCCTTTCGGTTTTAGAGGCCATGGAGGCCCGAAAAGACCCCAAGGTGGTGGCTCAATTTGGAGTCCTGATGTTGCTCGCCTTGGGACATCTGTCCATGTGGTCGGTGTTTGGAGATATGTTATCCCAGGAGTCATTGAAAGTAGCGGAGGCTGCTTACGATGCATATGACCCCACTAAAGGATCAAAAGATGTTTATAGAATCCTCTGCTTAATCATTCGACGTGCCCAGGAACCGCTGATCATGAGAGCCAGCCCCTTTCCTTCATTTAATTTAATAAACTACGCCGCTGTAAGTTCCTCAGTTCAAAATACATGCCTTTATGTTCTGCACTTATTTTTCCTTTTCAGATACTCAATCAATGCTACGGAATCCTCACATTTTTATTAAAAACTTTGGATTAAAGCCAGAATATTAAACTCAAATTTATATAAATATTTAGATACATACAATAAAGGAAAACTAAACTTTATATGAGTCTGTTTTATTCTGTATTGGTCAGGATTATGTTATAATACTTTTTATCATGGGTTTGCGAGTTAAAAATGCATAAGCTATACTTATGCCAATTCGCAGATGATATTTGCCAAGCCTTTATTTCCTAAGAATAAGATACACATATACGAGAACTAATTCCATATGCAAATTTCTAGAAGGAATTAGAATCTTTCGAAGCAGATGTTAAGTTTTCGCTTGGTAATTGCTTTAAGTGGCCATAATTTTTTGCTATAGCCACACCGGGAAAATTTAAATACACATAGTTTTATAAGAATTAGATAGAAATTTGTAATTTTGATGTGTTTAAGTAAACAGGAAAATATTACAAAATATTAAATGTTAATTTTGATCTAATATTAATTTAAAATATTATTTAAGAATTTCGTAATCGGAATATGGACGTGTTTTATGACAAATTTTTTTTTCTGTGCACTCTTGGATTATATTTAATAGGTCCTCTCATTGTCTCAAATGGGCACTCCAAAAACAGAAGCGTTTCGAAATGGACTTACGTGGCAATTTGAATCGTTTTCTAATATTTTATTTCGATGGTTGGAAGGTTTTTTGGGATCCTCACCTGGAGTCTAGGCATTCGCCAGTATACTTTTGGAGGGAACAGATGAAGTCTGAGTGACGTAGAATTAAAATCTAACTTAAAAATCTATGTTAAATCTGTTTGCAGAGCAATGTGTTTATACACAACATCCGAGGAAAGACTATTGCCCTATCGATCTGTTTGGCACACTTTGGTGATTATCCAAGCTTCCGTGTTATTTGGATCAATGTGCTACGGCGTAACTGAATCGATAGGAGACAGTGTTCAAATCGGTCGGGATCTGGCTTTCATCATTGGGGTTAGAAAAAGCTAAAGTGTTCAAGAACATATCAAAAACTAATATGGTGACTTTCAGATATTTTTTATCGTTTTTAAGATGTACTACTTTATTTGGTACGGCGATTCCCTTGACGAGGTGGTCGATGATCTGGAGGCCTTTCATCCTTGGGCCCAGAAGGGTCCTAATACAGTAGATTATCGAACTGGCAAGCGCTGGTACTTCTTGATGGCCTTTGTTATATCGACATCTTGGGCCTTCTTCCTGTGTATTTTTCTGCTACTACTAATAACATCACCCATGTGGGTCCAGCATCAGAATCTTCCCCTTCACGCGGCTTTTCCCTTTCAATGGCACGACAGGTCAAAACACCCCATCATCCACGCCGTATTCTATTTGTTTCAGAGTTACTTTGGGGTATATGCCCTTACTTGGCTTTTGTGCATGGAGGGATTATCTGTATCCGCATACGTGGAAGTAACTTTTGCCACCGAAGTTTTATGCCTCGAACTTCGCACCCTTAATCGGAGATGCAATGGAATCGAACAACTTCGAATTGAGATGAATCGCTTGATCAGGTTTCATCAGAAGATTGTTGAGTAAGCATTAAAACTGTTAAAACAATTGTAAGTAAGCTATAGAAATGTAATTTTCTACTTAGAATTTTAGATCGGTTAAACAGCGTTTTTCATGGGACCCTTATCATGCAGATGTGCGTTAACTTTTCCTTGGTCTCCCTATCTGTGTTAGAGGCCATGGAGGCCCGAAAAGACCCCAAGGTTGTGGCCCAATTTGCCGTTCTCATGCTGCTCGCTTTGGGCCATCTGTCCATGTGGTCATATTTTGGAGATTTGCTATCCCATAGCTCGTTGAAAATCTCGGAAGCTGCTTATGAGGCATATGACCCGGCTAAGGGATCCAAAGAGGTTTATAGGGATCTCTGCCTAATTATTCGACGTGCTCAGGAGCCTCTGATCATGAGAGCCAGCCCCTTCCCTTCATTTAATTTTATAAACTACGCCGCTGTAAGTTCCTTAAATTCAAATATATGCAATTATATGCTATATAATTGTTTGACTGTTTTTCAGATACTCAATCAATGCTACGGAATACTCACATTTTTATTAAAAACTGTGGACTAATTGTAAAACCATCAGCACTTCCCATGAAATAAAGCAAAACAACTAAATTTGAATATGATTTTGTGTATTTCTTTTGTTTTTATTTTCATTTCGTATTTTGTGTGCCTAAATTATTTCTGCACAATTTAATGAATTTGTTATGAAAACTATGAAGTTTTTGCTTTTGTTTACATTTCCACGTAATTAGTTGGCTAATCTAAACATTGGAACATTTTGAGTTGCTCGTAGTAATTTTTTTGCGCATTTTCCGCTCGTCTTTCTTTTTTTAGTATTTATTATTTACTTGATGTTCGGGGTTTTAATTATAAATGCTAATTACGATTATTGTTATTTTGGGATAGAAGGGGAGTGGGCAAAAGTGCGTTTTATGAATAAATATTTAAAATACAATATTGCAGTTGTTCTTTCATCTCGTAAAACTAATAAATGCGAAGCGAATGCATTCGAATGAGGCATTCATAAATCGAATTAATTAACTGGCTTAATCATATTTTATCTCTCGTTTAAATTGTTTGTACATAGCGACGTTGTGACTTAAATGACTAGTCTTTGGTTGTGTGTTTTGTCGTAAATTGTAATTGTTAAATGAAAACTTGAACTTTGCGTTTGCTTTGAAGAGGAATGTTTTGTTTTTGTTTTCGTTATGTTGTTTTGCTTTCTGCTTTTTTATCGAATTGAAATTATGCAATATTTAGTTGTTGAAGAAACTTCTGTTGCACGCTCCGGCTGCTAATTGCCAATTGGAGCGGACTGCAAAAAATATTTACAATTAATATACAATGGCGCGAGTTTTTGTTTACATTTATATAGTAAGTTGCTGCAATGTTTGATTGTTTTAAGTACTTTTGTTGGCTGTTTTGCTGAGCTTATTTTGTTGTTGTTGATATGCTTGTCATGGGTTTGCCATTACGAGTGCCTATTTAAAAATGCAAATGCCATTAGATGCTTGAGCTCATAATTTGATTAATGATTTAGCGGATGATATTGCGATTGCTGGCTTCTCACCGGACTTTCTCTTCAATTTTCGCTTTAACCTCATTGGGTTTTTGCCAGTTCCAGAAGCCATTTGCTCTCGTCATGGCCGAACAAGAGCGGAATGAAGTGAAAAGCCACAAAGTTGTGGCTCAATGTCTGCCCGGGACAGTTTGAGATACATTTACCCACAGGCCTTGAGCAGAAAATGTCTATTTAAACAAAAAACAAGTGGTAAATTTACGGGCTCTCCTCTATCGGCCACAGGATTACCCTTTAAAATTACACATGTATCCTTTATGGGCCGAGTTCGATATAACCGAAACTTTCCGGGGTATTTCGATTTAAACTTGTGGCATCATCGGCAGTTACCAGTTACCAGTTGGGTGCAAACAGAAAGCACGCCCTTTATTTGCTTTAATCCGACAAAATCCCTGTTCTAATGCCGAGCGGCAATAAAGGACGAAACGTGCATGGCATGTAAAGAGCATGTCCTGTGGCAACACCACACCGCAGCCCTCTCGCCTCTCGCCTGTCTGCCCCGATAGTTTGCGAAACGGAAACGGAAGTGACACTAAATTCGTTTCGGTTTTCCCAATTGGCGACACACACACACACACACTCGTAGTTGGAGATACATTTAGGGACTCCTAGCTGGATGAACTGGCGAAAAATAAACTTCACAAAATTGTTACGTGTAATCCCCTTTATGATCTGCACCCTGCCATGTGCGCTGCATCTCAAGTGGGTCCGCCGGCCATCCTTCCTCACTGCTGCCAAATCCAGGCGCAGTCCTGGCCCGTTTCTCAGCTGGCTATCACCATGGTGGCGGCCGTGGCTCCCGGTGGCCAGTTGGTGCCACCGGAACTGCTCGCTTCCGGCGGCAGAGGTGAGGCGGAGCCAATCGAGGACAGGGAGCTGCTGCTGTTCACCGAGTGCAGCTGCTGCGGCTGATGGTACTCCGGCTCCTCGTAGGCGGCGTCCTCCTCGCAGTCGTGCGGATACAGCGGCACATGGTGGTGTGTGTGGTGATGCTGGTGGTGCGAATGCGTATGTGAGTGGTGCAGATGCTGCTGCTGGTATGGATGGAAGTAGTGGCTCGATTGCTGCTGCTGCTGCTGTTGCGGCAACTGTAACTGCTGCTGCTGCTGCTGTGGGGCAGGCGGTGTGATCGACGACGACGCCGGCGAGGCACCACCAGAAGGTGGGTGGGGCAGTGGCAATGGCAGTGGCATGGGCAACGGCAGCACCACCGGCAGCGGCTGCAGACCTCGTATGCTGTCCGCCGGGTGGGCCGTGTAGATGTTGCTCCGCCTCAGGTGGTTGTTGTTTATGTTGCTGCTGCTGCCGTTGTGGTGGTGCGCACTGCCGGCAGCACCACCCGCCGTCCCATTGGCCCCGCCCGCACCACTCAAACCGTTGCCGTGGGCGCGCTTGTTGCGGGACCACCACTGCACGTGCGTGTCTGTTGGAGTTGGAAGTGGAGTTGCAGTTGGAGGAACCGATGCAGATGCCGCACATAAACACACACGAGATGGGTGCCGGAAAACAGAGAGAGAGAGGGGAGAAGAGAAAGGAGGGGCGGTTAGTTTGGTGGGTCACAGTTGCGAAAACAGTCGCCGAATGTTGTGAGAGTCAACACCGGTAAAGGCCTCGTAATGGCCAACTGCAAAGGGCACAGTGGATGAGGTTCTGACCGAAGTTTTAGAAATAGTAAAAAAATATTCAAAGGCTTCTAAATATTGAAATTAAAGGTTTATCTAATTATTACCAAGTTTATGTTTATTTTTTAGGTTTTAATGTCAAAACTTTTTTGGCTACAGAAGCTATATTCCTTTTTGTTAGTGTTTTTTTATTATTATAGATGAAACAATAATTTACATATATTTATTTATTTATTAATATTTTTTTATTGATTGGTTTTAGATATTTTGTTAAACCTTGACTGCCCATCCACTGTGCCCACTGTGTTTGGCTTACGCCCACTGTTTTTCGGCCAAGTTGGCCATGTTGCCATGTGGCCATGTGAGTACTCACCGTTGCGATTGTTGGAGGACTTTTTGCGCCGGCAGCGCACCACGGCAATCATGATGATGGCGCCTAGCAGCGCCGACAACACGGACACGATGATCAGCGTCAGTGGCCATCCCAGTTCTGTGGCCTTTTCTGCAAAAAAAATATAAGAATGGACGAAAGGGGTAACGGTTAGTAACGGCAGTTACGCAGCCCTCAGCTCAATTTTTTACACTGAGAAAAGTCTACCAAGAACAGGATTGCTTGCCTAATAAATTGTTTTTAATAATAAATTAAATTTATAGATCCAGAACCGTCTACAAAGTACGATATTGTTTCTTAAACTGAGAAAAGTAAATTTAAAACAAGATTATGTTATACAGATTGGCTAATTACTCTTAGTAATTAACACTGAAAAAAGTCTACATTCAACCAGATTAAGTTAGAAAAGTACTCCTACATCCCTACAGTTTTATGTTATCAAATTTTGTTGTCTTCAATTTTAATTAATAGTTTATGTCTAAGATGAAATCAAATTTTCAAAGTAATTTAAAAAGGATTTTGAATTTATTTCATTTTATTCTTTGATGGAGGATTAAGATATTCCGTTTCTGAATTAAGTATTTGATTTACTGTTTTTCTGTTTTTTATGCGATTGGACGTAGTTTTTCCGCCCAGTGAACCCATTTTTGCATTCGCACTCACCTATCGTGCCCTCGAACATGAAGGTGCTCTTGGTGGGCATCGCCCAGGAGCACAGATCACACGTGGTCAGGCCGTCGCTCAGCACCGGCTCGTCGACGAAGAAGGGCGGGCGGGGCGGGGGCGGCACGAAGCGACCGTTCCACAGGCCCTGTTCGCTGGCATCGAAGGCCATTGGCGAGCCGAACAAGTCGTCATCGTCATCGAAAATGTCGAATGTCACATCCCCGAAGCTGCTCAGGTCCTCCGCGGAGCTGCTGGCCACCAAACTGGCAATCCGCGGCGGACTGAAAGTGGGAAATGCGGATGCGGAGGGCAAGAGGGGTGCGGATGCGGACGCGGACGCGGATACGGATGCAGATACAGATACGGATGCAACTTGATTTACAACGTAACTGAGACGCGCATCGTTGCTGTAGTTGTTGTTCGCTACGGATGGCATTTTCCTTGAGTTTTCCGAAGGACTGGGGGGAGCTTTCCAGAAGGTGGAGGGTAGACGGGGCCTGCTGCAATCCTTTGACGCTCCTCGCTTATTGCCAGTTATCGCCGTTGTCTGTTAGTCCTCCGTTTGGCGCATGGTGAAGGGATTGGGATTTTCTCCGGGCGCCGTTCTTTTTCTTTTTCTTGTTCTTGCTGGCTGAACTGAAAGGAAAACGCAAACGGAAGGAGCAAGTTAGTTTTGCCAATTAAAGCCTTAATTGTGCTGTCAGTATTTGCGCATTTCTCCCCCCTCCCTGAAAAAGGAAAATAAGCTTTCACATTTTTCAGGCTCTGTATCTGTATCTCTAAGCCAGCTAGTCCTGGCCAAGTTAACATTCCCTCGCATGCCAGAGAGACTCATGTCAGCAATCGTTTCTCAATGACTTTTTTCTACCTATTTCCAATTTGTAACTCCCCTCTGCCCCCGCCCCCGCCGGCATTTGTATCTTTTCAGCTGGAAATTGAATTTTTGAACAGCTCTGCCAACGTATCTGCTATCTGGCAGATACTTCGAGTAGCAGAGCCGCACAGACAGACGAGGGGACTCTGGCTGCTAGGATGCTATAGATGCGGATACACATAGGACATCAACATCAGCATCACACATGGCAGGCACTGCTAACGAGAATTGACAGCTTGACAGTTCGATATCAGGCTAGAAGTCAGCATTAGTTACAGTTCTGAGTTCCCAGTGCCTCGAATTTGCTTTATTAAAAACATCCTCTATTGTGTCAGAGTTGCGCTCTCTTTCGATCCTCTTTCTCGGCACTTGTCTGAACAAACTTGATTTGCGAGGCAATAATCCTGATAAATTAACGCTAATTTGCAAGCTCCACGAGGGGGAGGAGAGGTGAAAAACTGTGCTCGGGCTAAACGACAGGTGAAAATGAAGCCGAGAGCTTCGTTAGTTGGCTTTATATTGCTCTGTAGATTTCCGCCTGGCCAAAACCAAATAAATCTGTTTCACTCCAGTTGGCAACCCTTTCACAAAGTTCTCGACTTCCATTTCGAACTACTCTTTTTTTCGTTCCGTTACCAAACCATCAGAGGCCGACACGTTTCAGGCATTAGCCGCTGAGGCTGCCGAAATTTTCAACGTTTTTCGCAGCAAACAAATGGAAATGCATACCGGATTGGGGCACCAAGAATATTTAACCTTTTACACAAGAAGAAATATTTTATTTATACTAAAAAATATATTTTTAGATATAAATTCCATTTTCTAAACATTTCCATGACTCTATTGAAACTTTTCCCTATTAGTTAAATATTTTATTTTTGCTTTAAACCTTTTTTCCCTGTGTTCCTTTTCAAACATGGCACGCGCTTAATTACAGAAATGTATATTCGCTGGCTTGGGAATAAAAAACATAAAAAGTGGCCAGTTTTCCGAGGAAAGTTTAATTCCACTTGCGCAAATAATACTTCATATGCAGAAATGCAGCCGAGTGGCTAGTGCAGCTTGGAGGGGCGAGTTCGGTGTAAACGATATTTAGTCATTCTTGAAAATGAGAAAACGTGAGGCGCATAAATTGACGCGGACCCCGAGAACGGGCAGAAAACTGAAAACTGAACTTCCTTCACGCAAGCGAAATTGCGAATCCAACTGCGAATCTTTTGCTTTTTTTTCGTATTTTTTTTGAATGAATGAATGAACATGGAACGTAGAGTGGTGATGGAGATGGAGAGAGATACTGTGAAAAGCTGTGTGGGTGGCGGTAATACTTCTTCGTCTCCACTGACTGGGGCTATTAATAAATTTATTTTCGCTGCATGCTTGAAATAAATTGTAGAGTCACGTGAGCCCGAGCTCAGCGCACTTTGATTTTGATTTGCCTTTGATGGCAGTTGACTTGGTCTCCGGACTCCGGAGTCGAATTCGAAGTTGGGTCTTTGGCAATTCTATTGTTAAGTACAAGTCTGCGGCGACAGCTGTCATCTGGCAGTGCGTGGGCTCCATCTCCTAGCGATTCCCAATTGAATGTCCAAAAACGCGTCTTCAGTTTCAATCGGTTTTGCGTGGAAACGTGCCTGCCGGCGGCTTCCTCTGTTTGCCAATCGAATGGTAGATGTGATGGCACCACCGCCCACTATCCGGAAAACAAACAAAACGAGAAACGCCCAGGCCAGCAACAAAAATCGGGAAATGAAATGAAAATGAAAAGTAACAAACGGGGCTGCCCCATCAATAACTGCAGAATGCACAACAATCGATATTCACACATCGCCGAGATGGGAAAAGCAATTACACATGTCCTATTCAATTCCAGGCAGCATCGATTCAATATTTATATTTCCATTCATGACCCCCGGAAATCCTCGCCCTGATTTTTAATTAGTGCGAAATGTTTGTACATTATTTTCATTTATATTTCTCGGCCACCACCACTATTATTTGCCCTCGAATATGAGCGTGTAGAAATTATTATTGTTGCAGAGGGTTGGCCCACAAAAGGGGGGAGTTGTGAAAATTGCCAAAAATGTTTATTACGAGTTTTTGGCTCTCGAAATTAACACATACCAAATTAACATTTTCAGCTTTCGCCGCCCCTGCAACTTAATTACCTAAATATGTGAGCGAAATAATTCCATGCGTTTCACGTTAGGGAATAACTTAAGCTGCAGTTGAAATGGAAAAAATAGCAAAATATTTCAGAGCATTTAATTAAAGGCCGTAATCTGGGGAATTATTTATTGAATTCGAACGAATGCCTCTGATAAGAGCATTAAATCCCATTTAAAGGCAATTTTTAAGCCCCCAAAGGTCAGGGTAAAGGAATTTGCTTGCTTTAAACCCGCAGGGTCGGATGCTTTAAGCCCAAAATGTCAGAGGAAAGTCAGTCCCCTGCCACAATCAAAAATTGCTTCGGTTGCTCTATTTTATCCTTAAAGTCGAAGAGTCAGACATGGATATATATGTGGGGGACGTGTCTGGCATTTATTTTTTGGGTAAATAAATGCTGCCGGAGCAGCGACATAATATTGCACCAATAACAAGGAGAGGAAACTGTTGGCCAGGTCCGGAATTCTAGCAGAATAATTGAGTTAACTCGCTGGCATATAATATAAATTGGACTCGGACACAGCGCATGAAAATTGAAATTTTATTCAAATGCCCATGGACAAGTACTCAGCGAGGGAGATAAAAGTGACAGCCTTCGTTGGATTTACATAAATTATGAGGAGGAGAAACCAACTCATTTTGGAGTGCACTCCACAGAAAGCGATATTTGATGGGGATGTTGGGGGGAAAATTAGTTGATTTGTATGCGCGACCGAACGAAATGAAAACTAATAGAGTTGTATAACGAGTTCGAGGCCTGGGGCAAGAAAAACTGGAAAACCGCAGACCTTTATCTTCTGTTTAGGCTTAGGCGACCCTTCGGCAGCTGATAAACTTGGCGTTTTATTGCCAATTCAAATTCAAATCGAAATCATCGAATGTGAAACCGCGGGCTGGAATTTCGTTGTGGGATCTTCGCATCGTTGCGATCGATCGATTTTGAAATTACCAAACACACATATGCATAACACTAATGAATCCGAGATTAGATTTGAGATTTGGGATAAAACAAGCATTGTTGGGCACCTGACATGTTGGCCAGATAAACCCAAAATGGAAATAAACATTTCTATTTTCGGGAAGGTAGTTAAGATTGGGGAACAGTTAACAATGGTTAGGAGTCTCAGTCTAATTTTATGACCCTGTTAGGGATTTAAGTTGGAGATAAGTAAATTTAGAAATTACTGCAGCCGATATTCGGTCTTGTTTCTAATCCCCTTTCAGCCAAAAGGCATTGTCTTGAGCCCCGAAAACCAACTAGTTAATGCTGTTTTGGCTTACGTCAAAATTGATGAAATTTCAGCCCTTCCTCCCTGAAAATACCGTAAAGCATGCTGCCAAACAAAAGCCAAGAGATTTGAGATGCCATCGCTGCCTGATTTTCCCTTCTTGGCATCTCAGCATATCAAAACTGACTCTGAGCCACACACAGCGTGTGGGAGCTGCTGTTCTCCCTGTTCTGGGTTCAGTGCTCAGTGCTCTGTGTTCCCAGATTCATAATTTTCGACAAACAAATCGCTTTATAATCCCTTTTCAAACACACTCACCCAGCCGGCAGACACTTGGCTTCGTTCTAATCCTGAGCTGTCAATAAGACATTAATGCCTCGAGTATTCCGGGACCAGGGGCTGCGATCGAGTTACACAAAACGCATTCTGTTGAAAGAAAAAGGACGCTTGGGCCATAAAACCTCGCTCGTCTTTGAGATAGGGCTCAACACATTTTCCCCACACTTGTTGAGGAAACATAAAAAATGCCAGGGAGTCGGGGGCAGGGCACTTGAAATATTTAGGGTTGAGTTCGCTGCATGTTTATGATATATTTTGTTTAAAATTTAATTTTCACTACGACCCAAGTTATGACTGCGATGGGGAGTCCGTTTTCTTTCATTTCTGCTGCTGCTGCTGCCAAGTGTCTAATGCAATTTGCCTGCGAACAAACTCAATAAAGGCTGTCCTGAGTTGGATGGAGTTCCAGGGGGAAGGAGGAGCAGGAGCAGGTTCAACTGATAGATTCCCCGGGACAGCCGCGGGCCACACACGCGCATAAAGGAATAGAAGGCAGCTGAGAACCTCACCTTTTGGCTCGGGCCACTTGGCAATCATTTTTCTTGCCAGCGGCACTGGCACAGTGGAGCCTCGACAGGGGCTACCCTTTGGTAGAGGGGCCCACCGAGTTGTTCGCTTCATTCGGACTGCACTGTACAGTACAAAAGACCTGGCCTGCAGCCAGCAGCAGTCCATCCATATCCATCCATCGACTCCTGGGTCCCGATTCGAAGAGTCCCAGGGAAATAATCAAAGGCAGAAAGCGAAAAAGTAAAATAAATACGAAAATCAATATGTAGGCGTAAGCAGCAGCTACGTATCCATAAGGTACAGATACACACACACACAGGAAACATAAAATGAATTAATTCTTCGTTGTTAGCACAGGCGAACAGAGCGGTCTAATCGAAAAGCAAGTGAAAACTGCCACACCCCCCTTTACACAGAAATTTTCCTATTTGACAAGCTCGGTCCAAGATTATATGTTTAATCACATTTATTTAAATAATAATATCCTTTCAAAATGAAGTGAACTTTACATTTTATTTATT